ATGTCCAGTGAGCTTTCTTCGTCATTCCCGGAGTCTCTATCCGTGGAGCTTTTGCGGGAAAGTGAAACCCTCACCCAAAAGCAGCATGTCTTACAGCTTGACCGAGCTTTGCAGGTCTCGCGCGGACGCGCCAAACTTATTCGCATGGCTCGATGACGCGTGCACTCTGGTGATGGACTATTCCCTATAGGCCGTGATTCCACCTAGGGGTTCCTACTTGGGTTGGTGGATCATTGACTTGGTGTGCCGCGATTCACCCTGTGCTCGGTTGGTGAGCGTTTTCTTATTCAGCGTTTTGACATTGGGCGTAAAGACGGGGGGGCGGGTCGCGGGGGGGAGGCTCCGGCTCCACACCTCTGCTCAGTGCGACTGTCTGCAGCAATGCGTCCGATGGGGGGAGGCTCCACCTGCTCGAAACGGGTGCCAAAAAACATAAAACAGCCAAGATCTACTCCATGGGGGGGAAGGGGCGTTTTGGGGTCCGCGCCGATCGGCAAGCTGGAGGGGGGAGGGGTCCTCCTCCCTCTTTTCCTCCTCCTCCTCCACCTCCTCTCCTCCTCCTCCTCCTCCTCCTTCCCTTCCTCCTCTTCCTCCTCCTCCTCCTCCTCATCCTCCTCCTGCTCTTCCTTCTCCTCCTCCTCCTCCTCCTGCTCCTCCTCCTCTCCATGGGGGGGGGAAGGAGCGTTTGGGGGCCCGCGCCGATCGGCAAAACAATAAAAAAAGCACTTGGTGCCCGCCCCGTGCGCCTGTTGTCTCCCCCTCCCCATCCTCCGCATCCGCCTCCGTCTCCGCCTCCTCCTCCTCCTCCCCTCTCCTCCTCCCTCCTCCTCTCCTCCTCCTCTCTCCTCACTCCTCCTCCTCCTCCTCCTCCCCTTCCTCCTCCTCCTCCTCCTCTTCCTCCTCCTCCTCCTTGGACGACGTTTCGCCCATCGACTTGTGAGGATCGAGCCAGACAAATCCAGGGAAATGCAGATAAATCCGGGTACTTCAATGCTGAGGAGTCCGGGCAACAAATCCAGGTGAATGCGGGCAAGTCCAGGCAAATCCAGAGACCTTCTGGGACAGTTGGAGCAAATTGCGGTAGCTCCAGCGCGAGTCGAAGGACGGCAGAAGTCATTAAGCCTTTAACGAAGACTACAGTGGGGGCCCGACCACAAGAAGCCCTCCACAAGAAACCCTACCCTGAGACCCCAGGACGTCCACCGATTCTGGGTGTGGGAACGCCACGCTTTCCATAGCAGAACCATCGAAACCCAATAAACCCAGGGCACCATGGAGGCAAGCAGGGTGTTTCTTGGCATGGGCCTCCACTTCCACACGGAAGAGGAGGAGGACGAGGAAGGGGAGGAGGACGAGGACGAGGACGAGGAGGAGGAGGAGGAGGAGGAGGAGGAGGAAGGGGAGGAAGGGGTGGAGGAGGAGGAGGAGGAAGAGGAGGAGGATGATGATGATGAGGAGGAGGTGGAGGGGGAGGAGGAGGAGGAGGAAGGGGAGGAGGAGGAGGTGTTTTTCTACTTCTGCCGGCCGTCCGCCACCCTTCGCCCGCCTTCCGCGGCGAAAGGGATGACTTCTCCTTCAATATTCGAAAGCAAGGCTTTTTCGGAACGCCTCACATAGATTTCCAACGTAGTACGCTTGGGTTGTCCTCTCGCCCTGGCGCGTTACAAAGTACATACATATAGTTATCCTTCATGGTTCATGCTCCTACTATCCCAGGCCATCCCAGTATCGAGCCCGTTCCATGCCATGCCTGTCAAATAAGAGAATGCGGCGCACATGTGTTGGCATACGATGTGTGTTGCTGAGACCCCCTTTCGAATATGCACTACGGGGCACATGCACGCGCGTCAAAATCAGTTGAGATCCGATGGTTTCTAAAAGTAGCAAAACACGGGTTATAATGGTTAACGGGCTTTCTCGCAAAAACTGAATTCTGCGTGCGTGCACTCGCTGAAACCGTTAAACGCTCAAGTCGCTTTTGGCCACCGAATCGCGCGCAGTCATGCGGGCCTCCTGCGCGCGGACTGCATTCACGATCGCGCGCCCACCAACTCTGTCAACGCGCGCGCCCGCCGTGCGCGCACGCCGGACTGAACCCTTGGTCTTCGAACCAGTTTAGCACAGAGGAATTCAAAACATACGAACGCCCCACGGGTGTCAACTCAACGATGTCAGGGCATTTGGGATTCTGCGGGCGCGCGCAGTCTTACCATCCCCATCAACACAATCGTGATCATCACCGCCAGCGCCATCACTGCCATCGCCATCGTCACCATCATCAGCATTAACATCAGCATCAGCATCATCACTGGCATCGTCCTTATCATCATCATCATCATCATCATCATCATCGAGGGTGCGCCGCTGGATCTCCCCAAGGGAGCCAAGGGGGGGGGGAGGAGCCCCCCCTCCCCCCCTTCCCCGATCCGTCGTCGGGGAAACCCCCCCTCCCCCCCTTCCCCGATCCGTCGTCGGGGAACCCCTCCCCCCCCTCTCCCCCCTTTACCCGATCCGTCGTCGGGGAACCCCCCCCCCCCCCCCTTTCAAAACGGGGGGGGGGGGCCGAACCCCCCCTCCCCCCCTTTCGCCACGCCGCCCCTGACTCCGGAACCCGACCCCCGCCGCCCCTACCCCTAGTCCCCACCCTAACCCAAACTCCGAATCCCAATCCCGACCACTGACCCCGGCCCCAAAGAGTACTCCCCACTACTCATTACTCACTACCCACTATTGATTACTCGCTATTCGCTACTCACTTCTCACCACCCCCTACTCACTACTCACGACTCACTACTCACTATCCACTACTCACTACCCACCACCCACTAGTCGCTACTCGCTACTCCCTACACATTACTGACTACACAGTACCCAGTAATCACTACTCATTACTCCCATACTCGAAACTCAATACTCACTACTCACTCCCCGCTACTCACTATTCACTACTCACTACTTACTACTCCCTACCCACTAGTCACTACATAGTCTCTAGTCACTAGTCACAACTCACTAGTCACTAGTCACTACTCATTATCCACTACCCACTAGTCACCAATCGCTACTCACTACCCACTATTCGCTACCCGCTTATTACTACTCACTGCTCACTACTCCCTACTCCCTACTCCCTACTCACTACTCGCTGCTCCCTACTCGTTACTCACTAGTCACTACCCACTACCGGCTACTGACTACTCTCTACTCACTACTCACTGCTCACTACGCCCTAATCGCTCCTCACTACTCACTACTCGCTAACCCCTACTCGCTACTCACTACTCACCACCCGCTGCCACTACCCACTACTCTCTATTCATCACTACTCACTACTCACGACTCACCACGCACTACATACTACTCAGTAATCAGTACTCACTACTCACTACTCACAAATCACTTCTCGCTACTCACTACTCACTACTCACTACTCACTACGAACTACCCACTACTCACTACTCATTAATCACTACTCGCCACCCACCACTCACTACCCACTACTCATTACTCCCTGCTCCCTAATTAGTACTCACTACTCGCTACCCGCTACTCGCTACTCACTACTGACTACTCTTTACTCACTACTCACTACTCCCTGCGCCCTACTGGCTCCTCACTAGTCACTACCCGCTACCCCCTACTCGCTACTCACTACTCACTACCCACTGCCACTACCCACGCCTCTCTATTCATCACTACTCACTACTCACGACTCACAACGCACTACGTACTACTCAGTACTCACTACCCACTAATGACTACTCCCTACGCGCTACTCGCTACTCACTACTCATTACTCACTACGCACTATTCACTACTCACTACTCACTACTCACCACTCACTACGCACTACCCACTACTCACTACTCACTAATCACTACTCGCCACCCACTACTCACTACCGACTACTCACTGCCCACTACTCATTACTCCCTACTCCCTACTCAGTACTCACGACTCGCTACTCGCTAGTCGCTACTCACTACTCACTACTCGCCACTCACTACTCACTTATCAGAACCCACTATTTAGTATTCACTACTCACTACTCCCAACTCCCTACTCCCTACTTGCCGCTCACTACCCACTACCCACTACCCAATACTCACTACTCACTACGCATTAACTCACTACTCACTACTCACCACTCCCTACTCCCAACTTCGTACTCCCTACACGATGGGGAGGGGGGGTCCGGACCCCCCCCCCTTCAAGGGAGGGGGGAGGTTTCGGACCCCCCCCCCTTTAAGGGGGGGGGGCGGGGGGGGGTCTGGACCTCCCCCCCCCTTGAAGGGGGGGAGGGGGGGCGGGGGTTCTGGAGCCCCCCCCCCCCTTTAGAATATTCTGGGAGAACCACTGGCGCACTTCCATCATCGTCATCATCATCATCATCATCATCATCATCATCATCATCATCATCATCATCATCATCATCATCATCATAATCATCATCATCATCACCATCACCATCACCATCACCATCACCATCACCATCACCACCACCACCATCACCATCATCATCACCATCATCATCATCTAAATCCGCGTCGTGATCATCGTCATCGTCGATGTGGCCGCCCTTGTCGACTGTCAGTGCACGCGCACTTCCTCATCATCAGCACCAACTCCATCCATCGTGATAACCATCGCCGATGTCAACAACGCCTCGTCGTCACCATCACAAACGGCCTCATCACCATCAACATCGTCGTCGTCGTCGACATCGTCATCATCCTCGTCAACAACACCATCACCATCCTCATCGCCTTTGTCGCCGCCAGGTTGAATTTTGCTACTAACTCGTAGGTGAGCGCGATGTGTGCACAAGCAGTGGAGTTGACATTCACATGATTGACAAGTGAATTGCACCACGTAGCTTGTGCCATATAGCTTGCACCTCGTATCGCGCACTACAAAGCTTGCACCACATATGTTGCATCATATCGCTTGCATCACACAGCGTTCACCACACAGCTCGCGCCACGCGGCGTGCACACACACACATAACTCGTCACGCATCCTGCACCGCATAGCGTTCATTACGTAGCTAGCGGTACAAATATTGCACCGTCCACAGAGCGCATCTCATAGCTTGCGATACATCGATCGAGCATCGAGGGTGGAACAGCCTACGGCTTTCGCCGACGCTGGCTAATCTGTGCTTTGTAATATCGCCCTGGTCCCCAGGGACAGTCGCAGCGCGGCGGGGCCGAAGGCTTGGATCGGGATCCCAAGACCTGCTCCCTCAATTTCTTAGCGGCAGTCTGTGGTGATGAGGTCGGGTGGGAGGCTCCAGAGCGGCGCTTGGCGCTTGCAAAGTATTTGAAGATACGTCCCTCTGGTCCTGTGCCAGACGAGATTCGGCAACTATACCACGACTGACGGTTGTACGCATCCATGGCGCGCGCTGAGCGCGTCTAGTCTGTCCATGGCGGCCACTGCTTGCAAGCACATGGCCACCAGCATGACACGCTGAGCCCCAATAACACATTCCGAGCTCTGCTGTCGGACCTGTACATCGCGTAAGAGCAGCGCACGAAACATGTGCCCCTAAACAAGGGAAGAAGAAAAAACTGTCGCAGGCTCCATGTGCTGAGGTATTGAGGTATAACTAGGGGAGGCTTGGCTCCCAGAGCAGCGGAGAGCGTCGCAGCCAGTGTGTCCAGGTGCACCTCAGGCACTCGCTGTGACGGTATAGCGGCGCGCCGAGCTTGAGCCCTTTCTTGGCCTGGCTACCTATTTGTACCAGCTGTGCGATTGCACATGGCCGCGGTGATGACCAACGCCGAGTGGTCCCACACGCGTGCCCGACTCGGCCTATGCTGCCTGTACATAGCATTGGCCGCGCCTGCGCCCGTGCAACGCATTGGCACAGGTCGTCCGCCGTCCCGCCAACGCAAACGGCTGTCAAAAACTGCGGCTACTTAGAACCGCGGGGGGGGTTGCACCAAACCCGGGTGCTGCAGAGCGCCTGGCGACGGTGCGCAAAGGCTGGACCCTCTGGCGGGACGGCGATGTAAGGTGCGTATGGGCTGGTGGACCGCTCAGGACACACGCAACCCAAACCATGTGTGATCCCTTTTGGGCGCATGCTTTGCTTCCACCAGCTTCCACCGGCTATCGCCGGTGGAGCCGAACTCGTCTTGCCTCTGCGGGCCTCCGCAGGCCTTCCGCTGGCGCCCGCTAGAGAGGAGACGTCACCTCCTCGATCGCTCCGAGGCGAGGCCCTTTGAGGGTCGCGCTGTGTGTGTGTGCGCGCGTGATCAATTCTCTGCGGTGACATGGGGGCCTCCCGAAAGGGGTCCGAGCAGGTTGGGTCAGAAGATCGCGCCGCATCGCCGATGCATCGCCGATGCATCGGCGATGCACCGACCCCAATTGCTTCGACCCCATGTGGGAGGGCTGGAAAACAGTGCGCGTGAACGTGTGGAGGGGCAGGCAGGGGAGATGGAGGAGCAGCCTCTACGGCCTCACGTGGAGCTGGCCCCCCGGGGCTGCCCGCTCGCCGCCGCCGGGGCCCGCACGGATCAGGGCGCGCTTGGCCCTCCTCCTCTCGGTGGGTCAAGGATGGGGTCCCGAGGGATGGGGTCCCAAGGCCGAGGTACTTCAACAAACAGGGCAGATCCACGCTCGAATCCCTCCCCATCCTCAGGACTCTCCCCCTCAGGACCCCACCTTTGAACCACCGATCCTCAGCCGCGCCTCCTCTGCGGGGCACAAGTGACAACAGCTGCAGCCGGCCCCGAAGTGGCAGCCGCCCGGCTTCCAGAACCAGTTGCAGGGCCTGCAGCGCCCGAGGGCGTGCAGGGCGGAGCCGTGGCTGGGGGCCCCCGGCGGCGGGGCGAGGCCCAGGGGCACGGGCAGCAGCTCGCCGTCGTCCCTCCTGTGGTGGGCTCGTTTTTCACCGCCACCACCACAAGCTGGAGGGGGGAGGGGTCCTCCTCCCTCTCCTCCTGCTCCTCCTGCTCCTCCTGCTCCTCCTGCTCCTCCTCCTCCTGCTCCTCCTCCTCCTCCTCCTCCTCCTCCTCCTCCTCCTCCTCTCCTCCTCCTCCTCCTCCTCCTCCTCCTCCTCCCTCCTCCTCCCTCCCTCCTCCTCTCCTCCTCCTCCTCCTCCTCCCTCCTCCTCCTCCTCCTCCTCCTCCTCCTCCTCCTCCTCCTCCTCCTCCTCCTCCTCCTCCTCCTCCTCCTCCTCCTCCTCCTCCTCCTCCTCCTCCTCCTCCTCCTCCTCCTCCTCCTCCTCTCTCCTCCTCCCTCCTCCTCCTCCTCCTCCCTCCTCCTCCTCCTCCTCCTCCTCCTCTCCTCCCCTCCTCCTCCTCCTCCTCCTCCTCCTCCTCCTCCTCCTCCTCCCCTGCTCCCCCTGCTCCTCCTCCTCCTCCTCCTCCCCCCCTCTCCCTCCTCCTCTCCTCTCATCCTGCTTCTCTTCCTCCTCCTCCTCCTCCTCCTCCTCCTCCTCCACCTCCTTCCCCCCTCCAACTTATGGTGGTGGTGGTGGAAAACAGGCCATCATCCTGGCCCCTGGGGCCGCCAGCCCGTCCGCAGGCGGCGCTCCCGCCGGGCTGGCGCCCCAGGTGTCGAAGTCGTCGGGGTCCGCCAGCGGGTCGAAATCGCAGCCGGGGCTGGGCGCGGCGGTGGAGTCCGACTCTGGGTCGGGCGCGGCGCTGCCCTTCTTCGTGGGGTCCTCTCGCCGGGCGCGGGCAAACCGATTCCCTTCGTGATCTTCCGCGACGAGCCGTGTCCGTGACGACCCCGCCGCCCTGGGGCCCACCTCCCACCCCCCCAGCCGTACGTCCACGTTTTGGAGCGGTGCGACGGGGTCGTCACTGAAGAGGGCGGTTTGCTAAGGGTCGGTCAGGCCGCCCCTGCTTTTGGCATGAGGGGCACAAAGCTCGGGGGGAACCGAGTCTTTGACCCCGTGGCTTTCCTCCGCGGGGACGGTTTTTTCGTGGAACATCTCAAGGCCCCCTTCCCTCATCACCCTCCCTCTGCTCACATCCGACGTCTCGACAAGGCTGCAACGGCGTGAAAGATCACGGCCGGAACCCTGGACCCTACTTGTCAGCTGCACTTCTCGGACTGGTTCGATCTGGAAAGGCCCGTGGGCCAGACCCATGTCGAAAATGTCGTGCGAAACAAATGCTTTTTTTTCCAGAGGAGAAGGAGCGGACACATCAGGATGATGCCAGTCCCGGCGACGCCATAGTGAAGCCACCGAACTACCTGCAACGCTGCGCGCACGAATGAGACAAAGGCCAAAAGAGATCTGCCAGCAATCCTGAAACGTATCCGGCCTAAGGGAATGACCGGACTCGGGCTGGAGGAAGGAGGAGGAGGGAGAGGAGGATAAGAGGAGGAGCAGGAGGAGGAGGAGGAGGAGACAGGAGGGAATAGCATGAGGGAGGGAGGGAGGAAGACAGCATAAACATAACCAGCACTAACTAAGCGCCAAGCCGCGGCGGCTGCTGTGGATAACCCTACAACATATACGCCGGTCGGTCACGAGCATTTTTTCCTTGGGGCTCGAGCGATAGCCTGTGCGACACGCGCCGCTTGCACGCCGCAGTATCCTCGAGCGGAATAGTCGCATGCTTGAGGTGACCCAAAGAGGGGCGGAGGAGAGAGGAAGGATGCAAGAGAACGGCGGAGAGGGAGAGGAGGGAGGATCGAAGCAGAACTCGCGCGTGCGCAAACCAGCCTTCAGAGCCGGTGTTTGCACAGGGCCCCACGCGAGTGAACTAGAAGTGGTCTGGCGGGGCGTGCACGGCACTGCCTGCCCGAGCCCTGCCGAGCAGCGGCGGGGAGGACAGGGCGCGCACGCCGTTCGGATGGGCGGCCCACAGAAAACAGCACCGAACGCGAGGCGGCGAGAGGAGAGAGGGAACACCGGGGGAGGCGCAGAGCGCTGGCCGCCGGGCCCACGAGCCATGCCTGAGGCTGACAGGAGGGAGCGCAGATGCCCGCAGCACTTGCTGTGGACGTGGACGTATGAAGGGGCCCTGGGACACAAAAATAAATAGACACAAATAGCAGGATCCCCCTGTATTTTCCTATATTTTCTTGGTTTCTGTTTTCCCCCCACTTCCCATATGTTCCAATCTTGTCGGGGGGAATTGACGATCAATTGTGTCTGTGTGTTGTTTCCCTCCTGAACGTGGCTTCTTACGGAACAAACGTAGGAGACGGCGCGGGAGTGGTGGGCGGCGTCAGGGTAGGAGTGGTCGACAGCGTCTTGTCTGGCGCAGGAATGGTCGACTGCGACGGTGCTGGCGTCGATGGTGGAAACAACTTCCTGCATGCTGACCTCCAGCGTAACGGTTTGGACGCCCATGCGTCCAAAAAATACGCACCAAAGTAGAACCAAACCGAATGTATGCCAATCCACATCGAGCTCGAGGCAAGTGGTGCGCGCCCACTCTTGCTTCCAAAAGTACTGACACGAATTGCTTTGCAACTGCATGCGGAAATCATCCCATCATCCGTCCGAACCGCATGGCCGACAGACTCGCATATCGATTCCGTAAACCGGACATGAGATCGCCGCGGCAGAATCAGCGGCCATCTCCCTGGGGACGGCGCGGGAGTCGGAGCCAAAGACGGAATTGAAGTACGCGCAAGGTTCGGAGCCCGGCCAGGCGTCGGGGGTGGAGTCGTGCGAAACAAATGTTTTTCCCCCTGCGAACCTCGGAATATTGGAAAGTTCCCGCCTGTGGCGATCGAGCGATCGTGAATCCCAATGTGAACATGTTTTCTGTTGCTTTCCGCCGCCGTTTGCTGATCTGTTCCGCGCACTGCTGCGCTATGCCGACCTGCGCTGCTTTCTGACGGTGCCCACTGGATGTCTTTCAGGGAGCAAGCGAAAACACCTCGTCTCTCCACCAAGCGCACGCTCGACACAACGTGGGCGTATTGAGGGGACGAAGACGGTGACTGAGCACAAGTAAATCTGAATATAAGTTGCCACGCACGAGTGACTCTGAATGTGAGCGGCTGGAACATTTCTCACGCCCGCACGGTGCTTAAAAAGTGCAACACCATCACGCAATGAGTCGGCACTGGCACGGCGCCTTCGACGCTGGCATTATCGCCGTGGCCGTACTTGGTCTCGTGTCTCCGAAGACACTGGATGTGAGTGATATGTTCATGCCTACACAAGCTCCATCCAGACCGTCCGCACTTGGCATCGGGTCGGCGGTTCGGTACCGCCCATGGAACTGGCGCCACAACTCGTGGCTAGGGCGTTCCGTGGCCCCGGCAGAAGCCGCGACCATTCCCTGGTGCGGGCGCCAGCCCTTCGTGACTGGAAGGCTCAAAGAGCCGCCGTACTGGTTCATGCTGGTCATCGGACCGAGGAAAGCACAAAAAAACAGGCGCCAGCACAGGCGACCCACTCCATACTTGACCGCGCGATCGGACCTGCGACGCGCCCCCTGACGACCTCCCCCCGGGGAGGGCGGACACCGACGCAAAGATCGGCATGCATTCTTTTATCGAGAAACCTGCGCTATATCCCGCGCGGTCGCAACGAGTTCCCCGCCAGCGCGTCCTGTTCGAAAGCCGTACTTGAACAGAGTGGCCCCTCCGATGATTCACCGAAAACACAATGCAACGTCGCAAATGTGTTGTAAACGATTTGATTGGGGACTTCGGCTCGGTCTGCGATGTGCGCTGACCAAGGAAACGCGCGGCCATCCGCGGGCGCCGATCTTTCGTTTGCATGGCGAAGCAAAGGCGGTGAATCTCAGGACAGGCCGTCGGCAGGTCACGATGCCAGAAAGCCTGAGTCAACTCGCAAGCTCCCCCCTTTTTTCTTCGAAGCCCTGAAGAGAGCGCAGGCGAATCCCAAAGCAAAGCTGCGCAACTTCGGCGCATGCCAGTTCAGATAAATTGATGCGAAGCAAATCGATCGATCACAAGCGGCAGACGCCAACGCAACTGGGCACGCGCCGCAACTCATGCGACGAAAACTTAATAGATAGCGCGCGCGGCGGGGTCGCGAAACAGCCGCCTCATTTGTCCAGCCTGCCACCGTTGACCTCTTGCACGAGGTCGCGCATGCGCTGTGGCATCTGCGTGCGCAAGCTGTCGACGCCACGCTGGGCGTTTACTCGCGTGGCCGCCTGGCGTCGCCCAGTCCAACTCCTCCTCGCTTCCAGGAGCTACGCGGGCAGGGCAAGCAGCAACCTCTCACTCATCCAAGACGCGGCAGACTCATGTGGACAGAGGTCCCCAGAGTGCCCTGCCTGGACACTGGCGCCGCCACCGTGGAACGCCATGCACCTCTCGCGACAAGCCCGCCTGAAATCCCGCGCGATGTTCCTGCCCTAATCCTTGAAAAAACACTGCCAATGTCGACGAACCCGACGCTGGGCTGATCGGCGCGGGGCAGGGCGTTGCTGGGCGACCTGAGCTCGCGAGCGGAGTCGGGCGCGCCACCGGCATGGCCGACGGCAAAGCCAGATCCCAACAGCTCGAGGTGCACCTTGCCCCGCGCGAGGACAGGCATCCGATGGGCCCGCGCGCGCTCCTTCCCAGCGTGCATCAAGTCCGTCGTGCGGCCGCGCGCGTTCACGCGCTCGTGCTGCGCGTCGCTGGACATTCATCCCGCGCCGCCTTCCAGCGCAAGGACTAGCGCTTGGCCCCCCGAACAGTGGCAAGCAAAACAGCGCCACGTCGGCGCGCGCATCAGTGGCGCCGCGCACCTGCCAAAGGCAGCGCGCGTCGGGATGTCCCGCGGCAGCGCGGCCACCTCTGCAGGGCGTTTCCAGTGAAACCGCGGCGCGTCAGGACCGACTCCCCGCGATTCCGCGCGCGACGTGCTTGCTGGCTGAGCACCCCGCGGTTGGGTTGCTAGAAGCATTCGGGCACCGGGCGATGACGGGGCCACGCGCGGGCTCGAACCTGCGCGCTTCCATGGCCATCGCACTGGGAGGGATGGCAACATTGTAAATCTAACTCGAAACCGACGAGCGACCTCCCGGGACCCCGGAACGCTTTGCCTGGGAACCCATCTTCGCCCTCGTTCGTATTGCTAACAAGCCTGCTGATTGATCTCGAGAGTGGATGGCGGCGTCCAAGACATGCTCGTGGACACGGTCTGCGATCCACTGAAATTCCCGCACGCTCGGTTCCCGCGCAGCTCCTCCCGCGCGTCTTTCAGCCTATGAGCTTTGGCCTCTCGCAAAGGAGGCACACGAATATCCTTGTGAGCCTTCTTCCGCCACTGGGGCAACTCCCGCTGCGCATCCCGAAAGGACGTGCACATGCCGGGCCGGCGCGGAGCTGCAGCTTGCGCCGGGGCGGCAGACGGCGACGGTCAGTTCGAGTGACGCGTGAATCCGGATTGCCACAAGTGGCGCCCTGCTGTTTGCATCCCCGTATGTATGTCTGCATGTCTGTCTGGGCTTCCGCCCGCCTTCGTATTGTTGCTGTCTACCGGTGTCGGCGACCCTGTCAGCCAGTTGGAAATTGTGAGAGGCTGTCGGCGTGTCAAGCTGTGGGTCTGCCTCCGTCTGTCGGACGGTCGGTCGGTCTGTCTTCCCGTGCGCCTGCGTGTCGGTATGTCTTTATGTCTTCCCGTCTGCCGGTGCTTCTGCATGTCTGTCTGTTGGTCCGTCGGCCCGTCGGTTTGCCGGCCGGTCGACCCGTCGGTCGGCCCCGCGCGCGCAACGCACGCGCATCGCGCGCGCGCGCAGGCAATCAAGCAACGCCCACCCGCGCGCGCGCAAGCAATGCACGCGCACGCGCGCGCACGCACGCACACGCACTGTCTAGCGGTCGCGGCCCCGCGGGCAGCGACGAAGCGGATCGCGCGCGCACGCGCGCGCGCGCGACGGGAGGCGCTGGACTCAGTCGCGAGTCGGGGCGATCCACTCAGACTCCTTCTGAAACGGGAATCGCCGAGGGCGCGCGCGGACCCCCGCAGGGGCCTCCAACCGCTGGGGAACCCACCGCCCGCCTGTGCCGCTGAGGCCGCGGCGTCGTCGATTCCCGGTTGCTGAAGGTCCAGTGGGAGGTCCTGACGCACCCTCGGCGGCGCCGCTAGAAAAAAACGCAACGTTGAAAATGATTGCGGGCGGTCCGCCTCGCGCGCATGCTTTCGGGGGCGGGCGCGCCGAAGGCGTCGGAATCGGCAGCCCCATGCCCCAAGTTCTACGCGCCGGCCTGGGCGCGGCGCGCTGCGCGCGCCTTGCGCGCGCGTGGGTGCCGGCAAGAATCAAAAAGATCAGTGCGATCGTATCCGCGCGCCAAAGGTTGCCGCGATTGCCCCGATCATCGCGGCTATCCAGCCCCCCGGGTCGCGCCGGGGCCCTCGGCGCAGACAGCGCGGATGTTTCCCGGATTGCGCATTCACTTTTGCGCGGCGCTATACACGGCAAAGGAAAGAGACCACGGTCCACTGACCTTATCACCGCCCACCCTACACGCAGCCGCCCACGCGAGCCAAACTGGCGCGCCCCGTCTTCGCGAATCAAAAAATTGCCCCCGCATGTGCTCACCAGGCTTTGCCGCGCCAAAGTGCGACTCGTAAGTTGCGGGCTGTTGGGCAGGGCTGCTCGCCCGCGTGGTGCCGTCTTCGTCGAGGTCTTGCCCCCTTGCCGACAGCGCCACGCGAACTTCGCCCCGGGGTGCATCCAGTCGCTGTCGCCGCGCTGGGGGAGGCGCGCTCGACGGGCACTAGGATCGAAGCCCATTTCGGCCGATTGGACTTTCCCTCGCTACTTGCATCTCCACTAAAAGGGGGGGCATGCTGCGAGGAGGCGATCGTCATCACACACGCCTGACATAACTGAAACGACGGCTCCTAAAGGCGTGCCACACACGCGGAGCACCTTGGCCATTTTGCACTCGCAACGCTCATTCTTGGCGCCCAATGCTGCCTTTGCGGCGTCCTGTCAGGCCTGCGCAAGGAACCTTCACCTCCAGCAGTATGAAGCCGCGACAGTAAAAAAGGAACTGGTTGCCAAGGCCCTTGCGCGCTTCAGCGCCAGATGATGGTCTTCAGAGCGCGGTTTCTTCTCATCGAAACCCCTTACAGTCAGACCAAGCCAACCCACAGATCCACGTGTAAAGTCGGCGCAACCTGAGCTTTGCAAGCGCGCCCAGCAGGGCCGCTGCGCATATCTACTTGGCCCGCCATGCACCGTCGGCCGACTGGCGCTGCGTCTCCCAGAATTGGACTTCCCCACAATGCGCCGCGCAAACAACTCAAGTCGCACTGGCTCCCGACCAACACAAATAAAAAACACTCCAACGCAAACCCGACAACTCGAGCAAACAACAACAGCTCTCCACCCTTCCGCATCCCGAGTACGCAGGCGCGTCTGCCATAATGGTTGCGCGGGATACGTATGATCGAGCCAAGTCGAAGAACTGTGTGGCAACATGCCACAGCGGCGATTACTGAGACGATTCGACCCCCCTTTGTGCGCAGTCTTTCGCAAATTCCAAATGCCGAGCAGAGACACATGGGAGGGCATCCGTATGTTCCAGGTTGTGGCGAGGGTCCGTCAAAACGAGGCGCGGAGAAAACGTGCGCACAACGCATTCATGAAACAGGATGCAGACAACGCTTCGAACCTGTAGTCGACAATACCAAGAGTAACCGCTTGGATGAGCTTGCGTTCCTTCGAAGGGCGCGCAGGAACGCAACGGGATAGTGCCGTATCAGACTCGGCGCAATCCCGCTCGGGATTTCTAAACTTCTGCTGCGGAGCTGTAGACGTCGCCGTGTCCCGAGAACCGATCTCGGAAGCACGAGTTGATGAATGTCTACCTGGATTCGGGACCCCGCTGTAAAAATCGTGAAAGAAACATCGTCTTTTATCTGCGAAATCGACGGACACCTGCCTCGAGCCCGTCAGCAGGCCCCGTATGACAACCCTAGAACTGTGCACTGGGTTTCAATCCTACCCGCTGGCGCGCCCAATTGAAATACCAGCCGTCTCGCGGTAATCATTTCATCTGAGTGCGTGCGAGTCTGATTTGATGAGGCTCAGATGAAATCTGAATGCTCGCATGTGAGTCTGAGTTTGAGTGGGTCTGAGTGTGAATGAGTTTGGGTGTTCAGGAAAATGAGGGGGGAGGCGGGGGAAAATGGGTATTGATGCGAGCAGGTCAACATGAAAGCGAGCCTGCATGCGAGTGACTCTGAGTGCGAGCGAGTCTGAGTTTGAGTGTCTGCTTAGAAGGGAATCCGGGTACGTATACTTGTCTGAGTGTGAGTGAGACACTGTGAGTGAATAGGAGTGTGAGTAAATCTGAGTGTGAGCGGATCAGAGTGTGAGTGGGCTGAGGGAGGAGGCGGGGCTGAGGAGGTGAGGGGCCCCAGCGCCTCACACCAACAACCAAAAGACAATATCCCCCCATCTGGACACGGGGAACAACGCGGCGCCGGGATCGAAGGGTTCTCTGGCTGTCTCTGCAAGGCCACGAGAGGCCGAAGGCGGCCCCGTGCACTCTCGGCGGTGGACCAACCTCCGTTTTAGTAAACCTAGCCTTCGTGAAAACGGCCTGGGACCGAAACCGATGGACCTGGACCCGCAGACATGGCGGCCGCGACGCCCTCTCGCGTACCGAGAGCGGCCAATTCCTTAATCGACGTGTCAGGGCAGGAGGTCTATCAACCTCCGACACTTTCTTAGGGGAACGAAAAATGACATAAACATAAGAACTCGGAAGTCCGCGCGGGTTTCTCGGATCGGCGCTGGACCCCCCTCCATGGCGCGCGGAGCGCGCCAAGGGCGGCGCCGGAGGCGCCGCCGGGGGGGCCCAGCGCCGATCCGAGAAGTCCGCGCGGACCTCCGAGTCTTTATGTTTATGTCACTTCTTGTTCCCCTATTTCTCTCCGTGGCGGGGTTCCTCGGCGTGCGCCGCGAGCGAGAGCCCCGGCGGCGCCGGCGGCCATGCGGGGCGGCGTCCGGCACCGCGGGCATCGCACGCCCCCTCGGCCGCCAGCGCCGGCGCCAGGAGCAGCGTGCGGCGGGGCGCCCGCCGCTGCAGGGGGAGGAGGGGCCGAGCCCAGCATCGGTAGGCCAGCCCAGGCCTCCAAACGCGTTGACTTGGGTCGGGCATGTCCTCCCACAGGCGGATTTTGGACGGGAAAAGAAAGCATAGTCAAACACATGCATAACAACTAAGCAAAACTAGTCAACAAATCGTTCCCATAGTATATTGTCTGACGATTCTGGAATGTTCCTCCTGTAGGGGGGCACGCCCGACTTAAGCGTTGACAGAACTATCAAGGCAGAGTTGCTCTGCCGTCGTCGGCCTCTGGAGGCCCTCGTCGGGCCCCGGGTCCTTCAAAGAACGGGCGATCAGGAAAGGCTGGCCCTGGGGCAAGGGTCTGGCCATCAGGGGGCCCCGTACGGAAAAAACAGTCACGACGTCGTACCTTTGGGAACCCTGAGATCCTGGCGGCGCATCTTTTTCACGCCAGAAGAGTGTTCGTGCGGGCTTGGGCCCCAGTGCCCTCGCAGATCGGTGCGGCTCGAGGGATGCCGCAGAAAATCTGGGTCCAGGGCCCCTGTCGTGATTCCACACGCTGCTGCACTTTTCTCGCGGCGTCGGATCTCAGGGAATCCGCTCCCCTCGGGCACCCCGCCGGCCGACCTGCACACCTCCCCGGGGCGGGGCGGGTGCTCCCGTGGGCCCCGCGGCGCCCGTGCTCGCCTGGAGGTGGCAGGCGGGAGGCGTCCAGGGGACCGCCTGGCCCACTGGGGCCCATCGGGTGCGCCAGAGACACGGGGGTCGGGCATGGACGGGGGGCGGGCGCGGCGTGGCCCGAGGCACGTGCGCGGGCGAGTGTGGGCCGGAGGACGCTGCAGGGGAGAGGAGGGGGCCATGCACTCCGGAGGTCGTCGTGGCCTCGGCCCGGCCCCTGGCCCTCACACCCCCCTCGGACGCTCCCGGGCCTACCGATACTGACGAGCGGGCGGTGCTGCGGAAGGCATCGCGGCTCGGGTCGCGGCGCGCTGGGGGGCGCGGCGAACGCGCTCGGGGCGAGAGGGTCGCCCTGACCCGCTTGGGGCGCTGATCCGATGGAGCACCCCGCCGAGGATCCAAAACTCTCCAACGGCGTGATGTGTTCGCAGGGCCCCGACAGCTTGGACCATTTCCCCAGGACTCGCTTCTCATCCTGCGTCGTTTCTGTCACGGTCCCGGGGCCCGAGAAGGGCCTCCGGAGACCCACAGGTGTGTGTATGTATGTAATGAAATCTCTGATCTCTTCGTATTCACATAAGAAAAAAGAAGAAAAAGGGAAAGAGAGAGAGAGGGAAACAGAAAGAAAGAAAGAGAGAGAAGGAAAGGGAGAGAGTGAGAAAGAGAGAGAGAGAGAGAAAAGGAAAGAGAGAGAGAGAGAGTGAGAGAGTGAGAAAGAGAGAGAGAGAGAGGCCAGGATCGCTCGCACCACATCTGACATCCGACCCTTCCCACCCATCCCTGGCCATTGCGTTGGACCTTCTTCTGTCCGCAGGCTGGGGTGTCCTGCAGGACTTTGTTTCCCGAATGGCAGCTGCAAGATCTGACCCAGCGTTTGCTGTGCAGTCGGGAACGGGGGCTCCTGCACATAGGAAGGATTGGAGGAGGCTGCGGATGAGCATGAGGATGAGGACGAGGACGAGGGAGCAGGCGGAGGACCAGCAGCAGGAGCAGGAGGAGCAGGTGCATCAGGAGACGGCGGACGAGGAGAGCGGAGGGCGGCGGCAACGACGAGGAAGGAATCGGATCCAGGAATGTGGCCCGCGCTTGGACGAGAGTGCCGGTCTGAACGATCGGGGCGACGTGCAGATCCTGAAATGTAGCCAATGCTGCACGATCGAAGCAACACGTACACATAGATGTAGGTACAGTGATGGTATCGGTGGATGAAAATAAACCAAAAAACATGACACACAATTGTATGGAGAGAATGGACGCATAGGCAGAGAGAAACCTGATACCTATATGTATATACATACATATATATACATAGAGAGAGAGAGAGAGAGAGAGAGAGAGAGAGAGCCGCCACCGTGTCTTGAGCACGTTGTGGACTGCCCCACGGCTCATGCAGCCCTGCAAGCCTGAGGGGTATAAGGGTTGCAAGCTTCCTTCCGGGAGCTCTTGGGAGCTGCTCAGCCAGCCTCAGACGACCTCCCGAACTCTTGAAAGAGTCTCAAGAGCCGCCTCAGATGGCTGCGCTGATCCCCAGCGCGGTCAAAGACAGCTTCAAGATGGCCCACTGTGGCCCCAAGACGGCCCAAGGGGCCCCATGAACACCCTCCAAGAGAGCCCCCAGAAGCAAAAATCTCTCCATTTCGGAAGAATATGTATATTTCCATTACATTCGCCCCTTGGGCTTTCGCAGCGCCCAAGAAAAGCCCAGGAGGCCCCCAGGATCGGCCCAAGAGGCTCCCCAGTTCGCCCCGAGAGACCCCCCAAAAGGGCTCCAGGATGGCCCAAGTGGGCCCGATGAGGGTCCACGAGGGCTCCAAGACTGCCCAAGAGAGCCCCAAGAGAGGCCCCAGAGGAGAACTACGAACGGACATTTCGAGCCTTTGGCCCAAAGAGACCACCAGGAGGCCCCAAGAGGCCCTGAAGAGGCCCCCAAGAGGCCCCCAAGTGGCCCCAAGAGACCCCCCCCATACGCCCCTAAGAGGCCCCAAGACGGCTCCCAGAGGCCTCCAAACGGCCCCTGAGACCCAGATACGGTGTCGGGATGGGCCGCAGGCCATAAGATTCATGTATACACACATTTCCCTTTATATATTTCTACAATAAAAGGGATGGGGAGGGGGGGGGGGGGGGAAATCCCCTCCCCAAAAGAGTCCCCCCCCGGATCCATGGCCCCGCCCCAGGGGCCTCCTGGACGCCCCTGCAGAAGCTTTGCGGGACTCCTGGAAGCCTCTGCTGGGCCTAGGCACAGGACCCAAATCAGTAAGACGAACGGCCGAACGGCCCCGCGAGAGCCCGAAGAGGCCCCAGACACCCACCAAACGCCCGAAGACGCCCCAAGGAGGACCCCTAAGAGGCATTCGAAACGCAAGAACAACATTGACTGCCCACTGGTTTGTCAGGCGTCCGAGAATGTTGCACCAAGACTACCCCAAAGGGCATGGTGGCCCGAAGAAGCCCCTACAAGCCCCAGAAGGAATCCAGGAGGCCTCAAGAAGACCCCAAGTAACCACGAAACACTTTCGTGAGACCCCCAAAGGGCTCCCCAAGCAAGACCCGCAAACAGAGCTAAGGAGGATGGGGGCAAATTCGCAGGGAAGGGCGAGACTGTGGAAGAGGAAAAGGAAGCATGAGAGACGGATAATGAACAACATAATTCGAACGACGATGTCGGAAAAAAGGCATCAAGTATTGTTAAGTTTGAAGTTGCCCCTCCCTGCACTTCGGCCTGCATGCCAAATATTAAGAGTCAAGATGCATGGCGGTCGCCAGTACAGTCTTGAATCCATTTACAGATGTATACATATAATGGATGCGCGTATACAAGTGTATATAGATATACATATATCGAAAGACAGAGGGGATATATAGAGATAGAGAGATAGAGAGAGAGAGAGAGAAATGTTAACGAGAGAGAGAACGAGATATTGTGCAGACGCGTCCATGTGGATGTATGTACATTTATGCACACAATTACGTCTACCAGTGTAGAAGACTATGACTTGTTTCATGCCACCTAAACCATACGTCCTTGCTACCCACGTGCGCAATATGTGTTGTGCTTCTGTGCGTGGTGAAACATGCATGTGGCAAGATGCACAACGTTACCGAAATGTACACATGCGTTCATACGTGTGTGTATAGATATAGGCATGGCGCCACATCTGAGGTGCATGCGGTGAGGTGCAATCTATGTGCTACAACCGATTGGATTGACAAGCTAGGTTCTGTTTCCATGGGGGTGCTTTTTAGGTGAGGCCATAGCTGTAGGGTGCACGATGTGTCGTGCATGTGTAGTGCAATCTGCCTGGGGCAGCCTATGTACAACATGGTGCGTGGTGCAATGTATGGGGGTCAGCTTTGCGTGGTGGCGCAAATTAAGTGCGGCATGCCACTTCGTGAAATACCGAAGGTCCGCAATCCTCCCACTCTCCCACCCGCCACGTGTTCGCACATTTCATATGGTCATGGTCTCAATGAGCGCACGGGCGCGTGGAACCCAACAGCGCGGACAAGTCAGTCCTGGACGTCGCGAGGTGGTGGTGGCGATTGTGACGAGGGCGACGCCAACGACGATGTAGATGACAGGCGTCAGGACGCTGATGCCAATGGCCATGGCACTGGAAACGGGGACGGTACGATGTCGCCGACGACGACGGTGATGGTGATGAAGCTAAGGGTGACGAGAATGACGGTGGCAACGGTGACGCTGGCAATGATGATGACGATGGTCCTGGTGATGAGGAACGTTCCGCGTGCAGAAAACCTACGGTGGCGACGACATCGACGATGACGGGGTCGGCGATGACCCCGACGATGGTGACATTGATGATGATGATGCTGATGAGGATGATGGTGATGATGAAGCGGTGCTGGCGCTTACGATAATCAGATGGGTTGCGCTGGCAACGGTGATGGGAAAGTGCGCACCCGCGGAACGTCAGACACAATGTTAAACCACTGGTTGCTCGAGTGTGTTGAGGAACATCTGCGCTGAATTGGTCACACAAACAATCGTGTTTGAAGTAATTCGACGTGCGCGCGGCAACGCGCGAGTGTGGCCCGCATGGTATCACGTCACAGAGAGCGGGCGGGCGCTTGAATAAGGGTTGAACGCCATGTGCGCGCAGAATTTCGACATTTAGCAGTTGAACCACATTCTTGTTTAACTTTCAAAATGCAGCTGTACGATTGTCATATCATAAAGATAACGAAAGACAGTCTACTCTCGCCGCCTCCCTCGCATATGCCCAAACCTACTCATACTCAGACCCACTCGCTACAAGACTCGCGCATGCTCAGACTTAGTCATGTTCAGACCAACGCACACACATACTCACTCAAACTCATACCGACTCATACACGGGCTCACCGCCACTCAGGCCCACCCGCACTAAGACTCACTTACACTCAGATTCACTCTTACCCAATGTCACTCGCAATCAGACTCTCTCACATCCAGACCCGCGCATACCCAGGCCCTCCTCTGGGCGGTGCTTACGTTTAGGTCGGGCATGTCCCCCGGCACGCGGATTTTGAGCGTTTCTTTTTTAAACTAAAACCAATCAAACAAATAATCAAGCATAGTAGAAAGTCGTACCCATAAGATGTTTGGACTATGTTTGAAGATTCGTCGAGACAGGTTACGGATGATAATCCCCCCAGAACTCAAGCGCAGGACAGGGCACGGAGCCCTGCATGCACCGTGTCCCCAGGGACCGTAGGCGACCCGATGAGCAGGAGGAGGAGGAGGAGGAGGAGGAGGAGGAGGAGGAGATGGAGGAGGAGGAGGAGGAGACGAGCGTAGAGACGAGTCGGTTCGACACACATTTAATCTACACACCTGTAATCTAACCAAATGCGCCGCACTCGGGGAGAGCAGGAAGCGAGGGCGAAGCCTCACGAATATCGCGGCATACCTGGGACGCTCCCGAGGCACGCGTGGACAAAGAGAACGTAGTACAGAGCCCAGTCGAAGATGAAGTCCGCGCCGACCGATGATGTTCGGCAGCTTGGCGTGCTAGCTCGTCTGCCAGCTCAGCGAGAGCCGTGCTGCAGCAGCGAAGGTGAAGCAGCTCAGCGCGACGCACGAAGGGCGTACCAGGAACAGCCCAGTCATATTTACCAGGTTCTGCATGTAGCTCAGCACGGTCTTGGCCCAGGCCACGGGGATCATCGCGCCAGCAGAACAGTACATCAGGAGGTTGTGCTTCATCAGGCTGTGTGTTAGCGAGCGGTGCATGCCAGTGTACGGGCTCATTCTGGAAGAACTCCTCATGCAGAAGATCGTCAAATTCCGAATGGTTATCCACCATCACATCAGCACGGGGCCGCTCGCCATACTGCGGCTCATCATGTTGAGGTCCAGCGGGCAGTG